GTAGGTAGGTAGGTAGGTAGTAGGTAGTAGGTAGGTAGTAGTAGTAGTAGTAGTAGTAGTAGAGTAGTGTGTGAGTAGAGAGAGAGAGAGAGAGAGAGAGAGAGAGAGAGAGATGTGGTGGTCCCTATCTCCGTCACCATCCACCACTGATGGGAATGACCCGGATGGACTATGAATTTCTTCATTTTCTTTGGATTATAGTGCTTTTGCATTGAAATAATCATGGAACATTTCACTCATATTAATTATCTTTTTTTGTGTTGTTTTTTGAAGGCATTAAAAGTTTTTGTTCCTTCTTATGAGAGCTATGGTCGAATGTGGCCTCACATGCATACTCGGATTGTTGCTGCTTTGTTTGTCTTCCAACTGACAATGATCGGCTACTTTGGAACAAAAGCGTTCGTCTATACCCCCTTATTGATCCCACTTCCTTTTCTTAGTGTAATTTTTGCTTTTGTTTGTCAAAAGCGATTTTACCAATCTTTTGCTGTGAATCCCCTTGAAGTTGCTTGCCAGAGCCTTAAGGAGGCCCCTAATCTTGACTCCATAGCGGAAGCTTATGTCCCACCTTGCTTGAGTTCAGTGAAGCATGATGGAACTGAACCGGTTTGAAGATATAGGTCTCTTGTGCTCTGGGAAGATGATTTTATGGTGTAAATATCATCTCCACTTCTCTTTGTTGATTGTAACTGGTGCCACTGCTGAAACTTCTATTATTGATTTTCTTCTTTGTGGATATTTACTGCGTGATGTGATCTCATGTATGAACTTTCTGTTTTACGTTTTTCTGGAGTAAATGGTTAACTGATGGTGTTGTGTTTTTATTCTGTTTTTTATTCCCCCCCCTCCCCCCCCCCTCCAAAGCCCTCTGTGTGCGTGTGCGTTCATGTGGGATATGGGTATTACATGGGGATTGCTCTTGTTAATATTGTTTCCCCATGGCTTAAATAATAATAATAGGAAAAATATAAGGTGGGGACCTAAACAATCAACTTAAGGCAAATATCAAAAGTTCTCTAGAAGAGGTTGTTTGGATGCTCAAAAATCCTCAAATTAGATCTTAAGATATATGTACATAAGAAAACATGGATTTCAAGTTTTGGAAATAATACATCTTGTAATGCATTTTTTGAGCTATCAATTTCTCAAGTTCTTAGTTGTTTATAGATCCACTTGATCTACAGTTTTAAAATTCTAAATTTTGTAATTAGAGATGAAGATTAATTTTAAGGACGTCACCAAAATTTTCATTGAAACATCTTTTGTTTGAAGGTGCATTTTACTTTGATGGTTAGGGCTTCAGCCTTATACATACCATACCTATATTTATAATAATAATGTTATTAATGTAACTGTAGCAATTATTACAACATGATAGCTGTAACTTTTTGTGAGGATGAATGTTTTTCCAATGAATTAATTTTAATTGGAAATGGCAATTGCCTTGTATCTTGGCTGTGCTACAATTCTGTGGTTTTATTCAGTCTATATGGATCTACGTTTTGAGTTCTATTGCTTTTTGAGTTCTATGGTCATGTTTATTTGAGTCTATGTATGGTTATTTGAGTCTATGTACGTTAGCAAAGGTTACTAATTTGTTCCAGTTTAGATATTTTAAAATTGCATAAAAATTATAAGTGAAGTGTTGAATTGTTCATCTTTTGAGATAACTTGATAAATGTTTTGGGAAAAAATTAGGGAGTTCGTTTAAATATATCTAACGAGAGTGTTTCAGTATTGGAGAACCCTTCAATTAATCATCTCGACTTCAAAATGTAAGCGACATAAAAAAAGAATGCTAATTTCAAAAAATAGAATATCTTATAACAAGTTATTTGGACTTGTCTACTTATAAGATTTTTTAGTGTTTTTATTGATCTATTCGAACGACAATATGTTTAAGATTTTAAAATTTATAACTAGAGATGAAAATAGATTTTTAAGCCATCATAAAATTTTGACATCGTTCCGACATCTCTAAACAAATTTTAGAGGTGCACGTATCTTCTACAGTATCAGGAGGTAGTCTTACACAAAACTCACTCTCTAAGTATATTTTGATAAATTTCCCCAAAAAACAGACATTCATTAGTATCAGGCATGAATTTGAATCATAGGATGATACAGTGAAAAAAAAGAGAAATTAAACTAATTTAGATAATTATGAAAAGAATTTATGATTTTTTTTTGCCATTCAAATCTTTTAAGAACTCTAGTCATTATCAAGCACTGACCATGTCTTTCCAGCCCGGAATGGAATGGTTATCAATAGAAGAGCGGTAACATGCTCAAAATGCAAAGGAAAAAGTTTATATAAGGATGCAACCTTATAATGTAGAACTACAGATGCACCTCAAAAATCTATCGGAAAGGTAGTTTTAATGTTGAAAAACCCTTTTATTGATCATCTCGACATCGAGATGTATGGCCATGAAAAATAAAACGATTTTAAGTCTCAAAAATAGTGCATTTGACAACATAGTATCTATACCGTCCATTTTCAAGATTTTCATATGTTTATAGCTCTACTTGATTTTAACCATTCTTGAAATTTAAAATTTTATAATTAGATATAAAAATAGATTTTGAGATAATCTTAAGAACATTTTACATCAAAATTATATACCATGATAAAATTTGAAGGTGCACCTTATCTCTACAGCTCCAGATGCATTCGTATGCCAATTGCACCCCAAAATGAAATCTTTCTTGATATCCATAAAGAGTGCTAACAACAAAGAAGAGAGAGAGAGAGAGAGAGAGAGAGAGAGTAATTAAAAGGATTTTTTTTTTCAGACAATTAATACATAGACATTTCAGTCATGGCACTCTCAATGTCTTGCACCGACATTGATTTAAGAAAACAGTAATTTAGTTTAGAATATGATACATGCATATCTTATGATGAACTTGTACCAGTAAATCTCTATGTTCATCAATGAAAGAATAATGATATACTACATAACATAGAGCAACTCAGCAATGAGAAGACTACTACAGTTTACAATAAGCCTTATAATGCATGTATAGGTTAGATTAATTACCAGTAATCCTTGCAAGAACAGGAACCATCTCTTAAATGATGAAACCGGCTCGAATCTCTTACTACAATCTCTCTGTCTACCATCTTAGAGATCACTTTCCCAGCAGCATGGCACTCTCTACAAACCCTCAAGTTTTTAATCACTCTAATAGTCTCTGTGGGCAATGTGTTGATGATAAGACCAAAAGCAATTGCCAGGTTCTCACTATGGTGAAATATGGTGGTTCTCTCTAGCTGTTCCAGGCCCTCAAAATACCCTAATCCTTCCATTCTCTCTGCAATTCTACCGAGTGTCCTTTGAATCGTGAACTTGGTTGTTCATGATGATCCAACTGCAACCTGGGTTCTTTCTCATTCCTCTGTCTCTCTTCATCACCCTCAATTCTCTCTCTTCTTCCTGCCTACCGGCCTTGGCATACATTTTCGACAACACCACATAAGCGGTTGCGCTATCAGGTTCCAACTCAAAGAGGTGCTTAGCTGCAAGTCTTGCCATTTCTATATCAGAATGAGTTTCGCTTGCTCCAAGTAGAGCCCCCCAAACTGATGCCTGAGGCTCAAATGGCATCGAATCAATCAAATGTTTTGCCTCTAGTAGTAAACCAGCTCGACCAAGGAGATCAACCATGCAAGCATAGTGATCAGGTCCTGGTTCAATTGAGTACACAGACTGCATGGCATTGAAGTAATACCTTCCTCTCTCTACTAAACCAACATGAGTACATGCAGAGAGAACACCAAGCAATGTTATGTGATTAGGCCTTTCTCCCTCCAATTCCATTCTCTCAAACTGGTCTAGAGCTTCAGCTCCTCGCCCATGTTGGGCAAACCCAACAATCATAGAATTCCAAGTGACCAAATTAGGCTCTCCAATTCTCTCAAATACTCGATATGCTTCATCCACATTGCCGCACTTTGAGTACATTGAAATGAGCGAGTTTTCAATAGATATGGTTTCATATGGACTCCGTCTTGCTTCCATCTTTACGGCTTGAGCATGAATTTGTTGCCCCTGGTTAAGTGAAGCTAACCCAGCTGAAGCACTTAGCACACTGCTAAATGTTTGCGAATTGGGTATGATCCCTTCTCGAATCATCTTCATAAACCATTCTATTGCGTTTTCAAATTCCCCATTATGCAAAAACCCCGAAATCATAGCGGTCCAAGCTACAACATCTTTCTCTGGCATCTCTCTGAAGAGTTTGAGAGCTTGTGCTATCTTACTGGTGTTTGAAAAACCAGCGATTAGCGAAGTCCAAGACACCAAATCTCGCTTGGGCATCTCACCAAATAGCCTCATGGCCTCATCCATTTGGCCAATTTTTGCGTAATTCGTGACCATGGCGTTCCATGAAACCAAACATTTCTCATCCATGAGCATAAAAATCCTATGGGCATCATCCATTGCACCATTCTTACCATACATGGTGATCACTGCATTGCCTAGAATTAGATCAAATTGAAACCCCATTATCACAACTAGGCCATGTAATTGCACCCCTTCTCTCAATTTGCCATGACATGCACAAGCATCCATGGCCACAGTCAATGCTGTGGAATTCACCACCACCCCATCATCTCTCCTCATCCTTATGAAGGAATCCATGGCATCAACCCACATACATTTACGAGAGTACCCCGATACCATCGAGGTCCAAGAAACCACATTTCTTTCAGGCATTTTGTTGAAAACTCTAATGGCCTCCTCTACCCGACCTGCTCGCCACATACCCTCAAGCAAAGTGGTCCACGAAACCACATCTCTCTCTGTCATTTCATCAAAAATCCTGACCATTGAACCGAATTCACCACATTTGACATACCCGGATAGCAAAGCATTCGAAGCTCTCAAATTCTTGCCTCCAGGCATTCTCTCATATATCCTCTCGGCCTCTGAGAGGTAGCCTGCATGTGCAAAACCAGTAATCACAATCGTCCACGAGATTTCGTTTCGACAAGGCATTTGGGTGAAGAGATTATATGCCTCTAAGGCCAAATTGTTCTTTACATAGCAAGTAAGCATAGCATTCCACGAAGGTAGACCTTTCTGAGGCATTTCATCAAATGTTTTCCGAGCTTTGTCGACAAGGCCATTGTTTGCGTAAGCAGTGAGGAGAGAGGTCCAGGTGACGACGTCTTTCGCAGACATACAATCAAACAGCGCCTCTGCATCGGCCACGAGGCCGCGGCGACCATACTTTGTAATTAGGGAGTTGAAAGGGACTAAATTTGTGATGTGTTGCTTTAGTTTTGGCTGGGGGCTCAGATTTGTTATGGGTTTCTTTGGTTTTGATTGGGGAGCTAGATTTGTGATGGGTTTGTTTGGTTTTAAATGGGGGGCTAGATTTGTGATGGGTTTTGAATGAGCAAATAAATTGGTGATGGTTATGTTTAATTTTGATTTTGATTTTGGGATGGTAACTAGAGAACTGTAGTGGGCTAAAGTCAAAGCTTTGATGTGTTCATTTGGTTTGCATTGAGGGATGGGAGCGTAAGCCACCAAATTGACTGGTTTACAGGTAAGGATCTGTCTAGAGAGGTGCAAAGAATATGGTTTGGGGGCCATGCTTGGAAATGGGGTGCCATCATACAAATTACATGGGGACTAAATTTGAAGGACCTGGGGGACATGCTTGGAGATTGGGTGATATTAGGGGATTGCATAGGGCTAAATTTGAAGGTCTTGGAAAATGTTTATTTGGCTTTGAACTTCTGATTAAGAGATAGGAGTGGAACCCAAATAAGTTGATTTAGGGTTTAATGTTTGTTTAGGGAGCTTGAAGGACTCTGTTTAAGGGGTAAGCTTGTATATTGGCCGATATTTAGATCGTTTTTTGGATAAGTAAATATTTTGATCTTTACAAGGCCAAGTTTGAAGGCCACCAGGAAAGTGGTGATTATGAGTGTTTTTATTTTTTATTTTTGGAACGATTCAAAACTCAGTTGATTTTAAGCTCAGTTTGGCAGCCAATGTACTCGGCCAAATGGACGCTTAAAATGTGCTCGAGCACTTTTTAATGGTTCATATTGAACCACCCTCATCCAAAGAGCCAAAAACGAATTTTGTCTGTTATTTTAACTTTTTATTTTGAAAGATATTAATATGGAGTTTAGGTTTTAGTTTCATTTTTATAGGTATAATTAAATTAAAATAATAGAAATTATTTTGAATAAAAAGTATTCATCATGATACATTTATGGGTCTTTTAGATATTTTTATTTAAAATATTTTTAACCGTTTTTAATTCTCATTATAAAAATAAACATACACCCTATAATTCAGATTATGTTATTTAAATAAAAATAAAATATGAAATTAATTTTTTGCCATTAAATATGGCGCTTTGAAATCTCAACGTTTGTGCACCTTTCCACCGATCGACCTGCTGCGGACCGGATACTTTTCTTTAAAACATTCCAAGGGTCTCTATGAAACAAAAGGTGCTTCTAATTATACATGTGCTTCAAACACAACGTCTTGTTTGATTTTGGAAAGATGAGGTTCTGAAAGCCACATCTTCTAAAAGTTCCAAAATGGCGGCTTCCATGGGTAACATGGAAGTAGCCACTTCTCAGTTTTCATGTTATTTAGGAAGTCATAGAAGCGGTAGCTTCCAAAATACCCCTTTCCTGAAATCAAATACAAGAATTTCAGGAAGTTGCTGCTCTCAAAGCCACGACTCTTGGTAATCAACTGTGATCTTATTCTTCTCTGTATTACCGTATCTCTAATATTTCTAGAGTTGATCATTTTATATGAGGAACTATTTTAGTCGAGTCGATTATGTACTAATGAAATTCTGTAGTTTTTGCTAGGGTCTACAGCATAGAGCTACTGAAATTGGATGGTCAGGGAGAGTAGTATGGTCAATTTTCAAAAGAATTAGTGTTGGGCATGCATACAGTATATGCACGCTTTGAAGCAGTAGTAAATATCTGGAGGCTCTAATAGTATCTTCCACCAACTTCTAAAGTGGCCACTTTCATGGAAATTGCCACATCTTTTTCTACAGAAGCTGAGGGAAGTGGCAGCTTCAAAAACACTGTAGCACTTCTCATTAACAAACATGGGATAGTATTGGGAAGTTGTGGCTTAGGGCAAAGAAAAACACTGGTGGACTACATATTATGAGAATAATTTTGTCATAACGGACAGCATAACACCCCAAAGCTGTTACATGTAAAATTAGGTAGCTAGAGTGTGCCATTCTTTGCATAACAAACGCCCCAATCTATGATTATCTGAATCTGGGTAGCTAGAGTGTCACTTCATTGCAGAACTTTAAAAACTTTCTCAAACTTCCAGCGTGATCGATCATACACCCCTGGCCACCAGATTTCACACCCGAAGATCTCCAGTGCTTGTGGCTTTTTCGCATCAAAGATTAACAATCTCATTGTATATTTTCCACATATTTGGAAAATTGACCAGGCATGCTTACGTTCCGACAGACCGACACCCACCAAGTGGTCTCCCTACTACTACAAGTAGACACATTGGTGTCTTTTGAGTTTTCATTTTCATTCTTTTACCTAATTTGTATTTTGTTGTTCACGAGGTGATGGCAAACGTTCAATTGTTAATCTCTTGTAGATAATTTTATAAATTTTTCATATTTTTTTTACTGGAAAATGAATACTAAGATTATTTACCTTTCCTACAAACTGGTCAAATTACTAATAACCATTAGATATCAAGGTAATTGGGAGTGAGTGTAACATTGGCTATGCTCAAAGTCCAGAAAAAAGATTTTCTCGAACATTATACGTCCCTTGCCACTCAATTTCTATAAAGCCCTAGCTTAATCCCAGATATTTTAGAAACCTTAAATCAGGTTAAATCCTCATCAACCTAAAAACTCTATAACCCTCGATCAAGCCTAGAAATCCTATATGTGATCCGCTAAGTTTCAATTTTATTGACATTCAATTCTTAGTAAAAGCCGGTGACTAAGCAATCGTAGGAAATTGCCAGTTATATATAATAAACTATCTAAATGATATATATAATAAAACATCTAAATGATATCACAATGTTTAAATGGCTCCATTGGGGTCAAACAAACCCCCATGCACTCTTTTCTTTAAATTTTAAATATATATAATTATACATTATTTATAGGACACGGTTTCTATAAGTCTATGTAAAAATCTATTTTTGAGATGGATTTTTTGACCTAATTTTTAAAGATATATAATCTCTAACATGGAGATCGTGAATATGAAAGAATAAATAAAATTTGAAAATTAAAAATAATAATTCTATTAAGAAAACCTTTGGACCGTTAGTTTTAATTATTTTTAGATGGACTACCTATTTGTATCTATGCATGAAACGATTTTCCTTATTTATATAGTATATACAATTTTTAAACGTTTAAAAAGGGGAGGACTTGAACCACCACAAGGGTTAGCCAATTAGGCTTATTCGAAATCGTTCATCACTATATTATATAGGATGAGGTGTCTATAAGGCCTAAGCTTTATGGAAACAAAATAAAGCCTCACCTCAAATACTCATTTGGAAAGTATTTTAGGCGATGTAAATTTCTATGATGACTCCAAAATTAATTTCCATCACCGAAAAAAAGTTTGAAACTAAAAAAATGGTATAATCGTGTGGATCTATAAACACTTATTTCTAGGACATAACGGGCAGTCTAAATAATTTGTTATACTACATACTATTTTTAGAGCTTCAGTTCCTTTTTCTTTTTTTTAACGACCATAATGTTGAAGTCGAGATGATCGATGTAAAGGTTTTCCAATACTTTTGCAATCTTCGATGAGTTGTGAGTTGAGGATTTACTTATTTTGATAGGGCTGCAGCCCTATCAAACAATTTTCCTATTATAGAGAGAGATTATTGAGATTGAGGTGTGTTTAAATTTAGCCAATTTTGCTTTTTCTAGTAGGACAAGGCCGAGAATGAACGACAGATGGATACCCCCTGTACTAGGCTGTTTGAAGCTAAACTTTGATGGTAGTTCTATGTATAATCTTGGGAATGCAAGGGTAGGAGGTGCAGTGCGAGATTAGACTGGGTCAATTATTCTCTCTTATGCTGGACCTATTGGATGAGCAAAGGCTAACATGGCATAATTCACAGCGTTGCTTAAAGGATTGTTGTTTATTAAAGCCTTGAATGTGGGCCATTTCATTGTTGTGGAAAGTGATTCTTTAAATGTGATAAAGTGGTGCAACAAGGAACTTCGTGTTCCTTGAATGTTGCGATCAATTTGGGGCCAAGTTTTTGACTTAGAAGGGGTATTATCACTATCCTTCCAGCATGTGATTAGAGAATCTAATGGTATTGCTGATGGATTAGCTAAAAGAAGGGTGTCGATGGATTCCATTTCGATTTTGAAAGATGTGAGTGTTGAGAGTTGTAATCATAGTTTAGTTGGTAATAAAATTTGGTAATATTTATCAAAAAAAAAAAAAACCAAAGATTTATTATTATTATTATTACTATGTTGTATCACCTCGGCTGGGCAATCCACTTAGCGATCATTTTTTAAAAAACACTTGTAAAAAACTGTAAAAAACTCTTCCAGTTTCAATTAAATGATTCAATTCTTCAATATAAATTCAATTATTCAAGTGAAATTTCAAGTTTGGGAGGATTAAACACAAATTCATTACTTAATCTAGACGCCTCCTCTAGGTGCCAAGCATGTGGGCTGGGTTTTTTATTCTGAAATACAATATTTCTCTACAAGATTTGTGCTACTGTCTTTATTTGATTCTTAATTTTATTTGAACTTTTTTTTTTTGTTTGAATTTTAAATATTAAATGTACCAAGTGAGATGTACTCAACGCAACTGGCGATCTGGCTGTAAAACCTTTTACCTATGAGTCCTAATTTGGTTGGACCCAGACTTTTGATTTTGTTTAGTACTGAAGTATTTTCTTTAGTTTACACCCAAGTCAATTAGGGTAGACTTTCCTTCCGAGATTCAATTTTTTTTTTTTTTTGGGTGAATCAGTGGGCATATCTTGCTCCTACTTGTTTATTAAGAATTTAGAAAATGTTACATGAATAATCTTTATACAACTCTTGGTAAGGGGACACTAGCAACATCAGACATAATTAAAGGCATTATAAAATCTAGGGAGTGAGCATGCCACATCGTTGCTTCATTAATAGATACCGCTCCTTTGGCAAAAATGTATGCAGCTATATTGGCCTATTTATAGGTGTGTTGGATCTTCCATCGATGAATAGCAAAACCTGCATGCTTAGATATACAATTAGCCAAGAGTATGTGCAAATCTCCATGGAGGCTTGCAGCGACGACTCATAGAATCCTCAAGAAGCTTGGAGTCATTTTTGATGAAAAGAGGTATACGATTGGTCTACCTGGCTAGAGATCCCTTTATCAAGTGCATGAAATTCAATTGTGTTATGAGAATTGTTACCCAATGGAGTTACAAATACTGCAATAAATCTAGCAATAAATCCACCTGCATCATTCCTGATGATAACCCCACGCCCAGTGCTACCTGAGTTCTGCTTGGAAGCTCTATCGATGTTGAGCTTAAAAGAGCCTAAAGGAGGAGGCAGCCATGCTACATGCATTTGAATAGGGGGGATACCAGATCCTATTATAGGTTAAGATTGGCGGCAATATTAAATTTAGAGGGATGGAAGACCCGACTTTTAGCTCTCGCCAACGATTTACCCATGTGGAAAATAGAAGTTGCTCCCTTGCATTCTCAATCCACCATGTATCCACGATTCAAAAGGTTGCCTTATGAGATTTGAGTCTTTCTTTTGATAACGATAAATAGTCTTATTATATACTTTTTCCAAAAAGATATATCCTAGCAATAACCAAAGACCGTCCCATTTTTTAATAGTGAGATCTAAGGTAAGGACTAAGTGTTTAAGAACTCAAACTTTTTTTTTCTTATTTCGTAAATTTTACAGTAGATCTCA